CGCGCCTGCTCCTCCCAGGCCTTTCCCCCCCCCCCCCGCTGCCTGGGGCAGCGGCCCCTTCCTTACCGGTGCTGAGCTCGCGGGCCTCCGCACTCCTCCTGCACCGCTCCTCCCGCAGCCGGGGGCCATCAGCGCTGCCCCCAAGCTGCAGCACCAGCTGCCGGTGCCCAGCCGTGGCCTTGCAGAGGGCGGCCTGGGCAGCTGCGCATGTCCCTGCTGCCCCCCGCACACGGCACGCGTCCCTTCTCCCCGGTGCCATTGTGCCCTGTGAGGACGGGGCAGGGCCAGGATCCTCCGCAGCAGCCTCCAGGTCCCTGGGGGCCTCAGCTCCCCTGTGTCGCAGTGCTGTGCTGCAGGGATGTGACGGGCTCTGAGCCGTGTCCCTGTGTCCCACCAGCTGCACAGTGCCAGTCCTGCTGTCCCCACATGTGCTGGGTGCTCCCTGGCCCCCACCCACCCCAGCCTGGGGAGTGCGCCCTCCTTGTCCCCCCCCTGCTGTGCTCCTCCCTGGCTGGAGAGGCTGCATGGAGCCGCTGCAAGTGCCTGGGGAGGAGCGGGTCCCCAGGGAGCAGTGATGCACGGCGGGCTGGTACAGGCTGTCCAGGCACGGCAGCTCCAGCATCACCTTGACCCTGCAGAGATGGGGCTGCTGCTGCCCCCCCACCTTGTAGCCAGGTCCCCTGTGCCCTTTTGGGTGGGACATGGTGTCTTAGTGCGGGGCAGGCAGTGGTGGCTCCCCAAATCCCTTGTGGTCCCACAGCCCTGCCCTGGAGTGGGCAGGAGCAGCACCCCAGGGCCCCTGGCTCCCAGAGCTTCGCTGCCCGCTGGGGCCGCGCTCCATCACCCGCTGGCGTGTGAACCAGCCGCTCCGCATGGAAAGTCTGAGCTCATCGCTGGCGCCCGCCCAGCAGCCCGTGGGAACCGCTGCCCCCGCGCCCTGCTGGCACAGCCCGTGGGGGTGAGCCTGACCGGCATGGGGTGTGGGGCAGCCACCCAGACACGTCCCCCTCCCTGGGGAGCGGCGCAGGGGGCACAGTGCCGCGGTCCCCTCCCCACACAAACCGCCGCACCAGCAGCCCACGCCTTTCCCCCT